AAGAGACGGAGTTTCACCATGTTGGTCAGGCTAGTCTCAAACTCCTGACCTCAGGTGATCCACCCGCCTTGGCATCCCAAAGTGCTGGGACTACAGGCATGAGCCACCATGCCCGGCCTAATGTTTTTAATATTATTTAAGAAAAGCAGCTTCTGTTCCTTTCATATTCCATTTAGAACTTTTCACAGTACTTCTCTAAATGAAATAAAGAGCTAAGGTTTAGGTATATGCCCAAGAGAATTGAAAACATATGTTCACACAAAACTTATACACAAATGTTCATAGTAACATTATTCATAATCACTAAGAAATAAAATACTCAAAAGTCCATCAACTCATGAACAGATAAACAGAATGTGGTACGTCCATACAATGGAATATTCTTTAGCTACAAAAAGGAATGAACTACTACTTATACATGCTACAACATGGATGGACCTTGAAAACACTGTGTAAGTGAAAGAGGTCAGGCATAAAAGGCCACATGTTATATGATTCTGCTCTATTCCATAGAGACACAAAGTACATTAGAGGTTATCAGGGACTGCTGGGGTGAAGGAATGGAGAATGAATGCTATGGGTAAGGGGTTTATTCTGGGAATAATGAAAATATTTGGATCTTCACAATAGTTGAATAACATTGTGAATATATTAAAACTATCAAACTGTATACTTTAAAATTGTACATTTTACATGTAAAATTTCATGTAAATTATATTTCAATTAAAAAATTAAACCATTATATAGATCAAAACATCAATAAAATTAAAAATCAAATAACAAACTAGGAAACTAAAAATAATATTGGCAATATATATGACAGCTAAGGGTATAATTAAGAAACTTATAAGAAGCCAAAAAATACATAAAATAGATTAAAAATGTCAACTTCACTGGAAAATACAAATTAAACAATTATATACACACATTTAAAAAATATCATAGCACTTAGGGCTGGTTTAAAAAATAAAAAAAAGCTGAGGCAGTAAAAAGAGAAGAATTTAGCAAACAAGAAGAAGAAAAAATAAATAATTTAAAAAAACAGGCTGGATGAAGTGGCTCACATTTGTAATCCCAGTACTCTAGGAGGCTGAGGCAGGAGACTCACTTGAGCCCAGGAGCTGGAAATTAGCCTATGAAACAATGTGAGAATCCTGTCTCTACAATTTATTTTTATTTTTATTTTTATTTTTTTGAGACGGAGTCTTGCTCTGTCACCCAGGCAGGAGTGCAGTGGAGTGATCTCAGCTCACTGCAACTTCCATCTCCCTGGTTCAAGCGATTTTCCTTCTCAGCCTCCTGAGTAGCTGGGATTACAGGCATGTGCCACCATGCCCAGCTAATTTTTTTGTATTTTTAGTAGAGGCAGGGTTTCACCACACTGCCCAGGCTGGTCTTGAACTCCTGACCTCAAATGATCCACCCACATCAGCTTCCCAAAGTGTTAGGATTACAGGCGTGAGCCACCACGTACAGCTCTACAAAAACACTTTTAAAAAATTAGCAGGACATGGCATCACATGTCTGTAGTTCTAGCTACTCAGGAAGCTAAGGCAGGAAGATTGTTTGAGCTCAGGAGTTTGAGGCTTCAGTGAGTTATGACTGTACCACTATACTCCAGCCTGGGTGACAAATCAGGACCCTAACTCTATAATAAAAAAAAAAAAAAAAAAAATTAAAAAAAAAAAAAAAGCCACAAACCTAAAAAAAAAACACCAACAAAACTCTTCAGGGAAGACACTCAAACATGCCTTCTACCTGCTAGAAAAGTAATCTTTTAAATTAATTATGCAACTTGTTTAGGTATATCAAATTCTTTATTTCACTTTACCTACCTTGGTAGCTAATCTAATCTGGTCATCAGTAGAAATTTTTAATGAATCTTTAGTTTTATGTGTTTTATAAATACCTTCAAAGTGTTTATTAAATGATAATGAAACATGTTCTTCTTAATATCTTCCTGATATTTACAATAGAGCTTGGAAGAAAACAGTACCACATTTCTATTCTCTAAAACAGGGGTCCCCAATCCCTGGGTCACAGACAGATGGGTACTGGTCAGTGGCCAGTTAGGAACCAGGCTGCCCAGCAGGAGGTGAACGGTGGGCAGGTGAGTGAGCAAACAAAGCTGAGCTATGCCTCCTGTCAGATCAGCAGCGGCATTAGATTCTCATAGGAATGTGAACCCTATTGTGAACGACACATGCAAGGGATCTAGATTGTGTGCTCCTTATGAGAATCTAATGCCTGATGATCTGTCACTGTCTCCCATCACCCCCAGGTGGGACTATCTAGTTGTAGGAAAAGCTCAGGGCTCCCACTGACTCTACCTTTCAGTGAGTATATAATAATAATAATAATAATAGAAATAAATTGCACAATAAATGTAATGCACTTGAATCGTCCCAAAACCATACCCTCACCCAATCCATGGAAAAACTGTCTTCCATAAAACTGGTCCTTGGTGCCAGAAAGGTTGGGGACTGCTGCAGTCTAAAACCATAGAATAAGCTAAAAATATTCAATAATCCATAAAGTATTACTATACCTGTGTACTGCCATCACAGATGTAAAAAGTCTAGGGCTTCCAGGAACCAAGTTTGTAAATATAAATTCAAAACGAGTACTGTTACATTTTGTTAGTATATAAAGAGCTTCAGTTTGGCCTCGTAATTTCTGTAAGGACAAATTTATTTAAAAGTTCAGATTTTAGGAGCAATTTCTCCTTTATAGTGAAAACAAACATCAATCTCAAATATCTAGTTTCTTTACTATACATATGTATTTCAATAAGAATTTTTAGACTTACAGAGTTAGCAGTCCTTGTTGTAATATTCAGTATGCAATTATAACCGACAGCTAAAATCCAAAAGCAAACAATGTAAAGAACATGATATGGTACATTGAGAAAAATACTTTTCTAAAAAAAAAAAAAAAANAAAAAAAAAAAAATATATATATATATATATATATATACAGAACTTTTAACAGTTTAGAAATTAAACATATATAGAAAGACACTTTTAAAAGTTTAAAAGAAATAACTATAAATTTAAATAATTAAAAAAAAAAAACTAGAGGGTTAATTCTGTCTCTTTGAACAAACAAAAATACAACACGGGAAAAAGGAAGTCTTCATCCTTAAAGCCTCTGCAACATTATTTACTGAAAGTTTTAGCACTACTACATCAAAAGAACAAGTCTAGCTGGGTAATCTAAAATACTTTAAAAAAATAAGTGAAACAAAATTTAACACAATGAAAATATTATACTTTTATTACAGCTTATATCTTACTTCTTTGGGATTAAACAGGTGATAGCATGTTCTCAAAAAAAAAAAAAAAAAAAAAAAAAAAAAAAAAAAAAAAAAAGAAAAAAAAAAAAAAAAAAAAAAAAAAAAAAACAAGGTTAAAGCCCTAATCTCACATATTTCCAAGACACAAAATGGACAGACCAAAATAATAATGGATAATTCTGTTTGCATTATGATGTCTAGGATTTATGACCGTTTTTGATTTTTATTAACTTAAGATTTCTAGTCCGGCGCTGTGGCTCACACCTGTAATCCCAGCACTTTGGGAGGCCAAGGCGGGTGGGTTACCTGAGGTGGGGAGTTTGAGACCAGCCTGACCAACACAGAGAAATCCTGTCTCTACTAAAAATACAAAATTTGCCAGGCATGGTGGTGCATGCCTGTAATTCCAGCCATTTGGGAGGCTGAGGAAGGAGAATTGCTTGAACCCGGAAGGTGGAGGTTGTGGTGAGCCGAGATTGCACCATTGCACTCCAGCCTGAGCAACAAGAGTGAAACTCTGTCTCAAAAAGAGGAGAAAAAAAAAGATTTCCACGTATTTTCACATACTTCTTTGGTATCAAAGGCACCATGTAAGTTCACATGACAAAGGGTTTTTTTTCTTCAGACTTATCTAACAAAGATACTTACAAACATTGACTCTTGGTAATGCCAAAGAGTGCCAGAGAATTCTTAAATTTGTTACCAAGAGTCTACCTAAAAGCAAACAGACAAAAATAGGTTAACTTAAATAAGGACCCATTTTGCAGCACTGAATGAGGTGGATATGGAACTTCTGGCTTAGTATCAGAAGCAACACTTACAGATAATTTTCATATGTTTATTAACTGAAAATATTGGGCATATCTAACCTATATAAGGTATACAATGTATGATTCAGAATCCTAGAGAAACAAAATTTGACAGTTATATAAGGAATACAGATGTTCTCTGCCAATAGCTTTGCTCTAACTCAAACTGACTGAGGAAAGACTTGTGCACTAGTTTTTCTGTCTTAGTAGAAGCTGTTCTGGGGTCCCAACAAGTCAACTGAGAATGAATACAGGATAATTACACAGCCATTCATTGAAATTGCGATTTTTCAAAGAACTCTCATATACGCGCTAATCGTTGATATATGAGTACTTTCTCAGCAGTTCTCATTTAAATGAACCATATATTTATACACACAATTTTGCTGTGAGCAAACTACTTTGTTCCTAAGAAGTTATGGTCAGGCTGAAGTCTACTTAAGGCTTTATACTTTTTGATCTTAGCATCAGACTGATGTTCATACACTGAAATACAAAGTTAGATACTTCATTTCTCAAAACGTGTCCTGTACAACAGTGATCCCTTATAGATGCTCCAAGAAAAAAAATAAATTTGAGAATGGCATACTAGGTGTATTAGAGATATATAATACAAATGAGCATTTTATGATAGCTTTGAGATATTCTGAAATAATAAGACTTATTTTGTTTAAACACATTATTTCACCAACAAATTACAACCATAAAATTCTTTTGATGAGTAATCTATAGCCAGCCAGGTCATACTCTTTCTGATAATCTCTAGAATGTCTAAAATCAGAGAAACTAGGTCTGTATGAATACTGGAGTGAAACTGGATAACAAAGGTGGCTTTAAAAAAGGTAAAGGCATTCTCAAGGGAGATTGTGGAAAATTACAGATTATGTTTGACAAATAATAAGTAATCCAGCATGGCTGGAGTGTAAGGTTCATACAAGATCATAGAAGACTAGGTATTGCATCTTTCAGTCATTGGTTCAATGGAAAATAGATGGTACACTCAAGTTAGGATAACTGAGGTTTATTTACAAAAGAGGGAGCAGCAGTTAATGAAATCTGGAAAAAACAAGAGTCCTATGGAGCTGACTGCTTTGAGGAGGGACAGCCAACCTCTCATTGAGAAGGAACCAGGAGAATAAATACCCAGACCTTATGCTCCTGCCTCTTTTTGATCTTCTGCCATGACTCTTCCAACTGAAAGCCAGAGTACACTAGGAACCCTTAGATGTACTCTACACAAGTCATGTTTCTAGGGCAAGGGGAAAAAGGTGGAGAAGAATGCCAGACCTGGAAGGACAAACGGAAGATGGCAGCACAGGCGATAAACATTGTTTTTGGACATACTAGAAGTCCTTTAATGCTAGACAAAAAAATTCAAACTTGGACCTGTTAGCAATAGAGGCAATAGAGTTGGGGGTGGGCTTTAGGATTGGAATTGGGAAGGACTAAAAATTTTTGAGAAGAGAATAATGTGACCCTACCAGTTTAGAAATCAATGTAGGCAGTTAGGTTTATCACTTAGCTACATGACCCCGGAAAAGTGAACTAACCTCTCTATTCCTCAGTTTCCTCATTTGAAAATACATATGACTGTATCTACTTTAAATTTTTTGTTTTACTATTTTTATTACTGTGAAATGAGATTATATCTATATAAAAGATTCAGAACAGTGACTGGCAAACAATAAACATTCCCAAAATAACAGTTACTTAAAAAGTAATCATTTGCAAACTAATTTTTGACTTTTTTTGTTATAGATACACTGGTTTTCCTTATGCCATTTTACCTAGGCAACATTTTATTTCTACAAATGGGCTATGGGCTCAGGACATCTATTGATTCTTTTATATTTTTCTGTGAGTCCCAAGAGAAATTGTGGAGTGGGAAGACTTTGCCACATAAAACCCCAACCACCCGTTTGCCTTTTTCTCTGCTCCTGGAATATCTCCCACAATCTCTACGATTTTTAACCCTACTTCTTTTCTGCTAAAGGGGCCCTGCCGACAGCTCCAAACCCAGTGTTCCACACATGGAGTTTCCTCTCCATCCTGCCTAATACCAAAATACGGTTGTCCCTGTTTCTACTAATCTCCCAAACACTGAAATATAGCTGTCCCTTTTATTCTCACACAGCTATTAAATATTTTAATCCTATACAAACTCATTTCTATGACTTTATTTATTATAGATACATTGGTTATATTTTCTCCATGACATTTTACCTAAGCAACATTTTCTCTCTACAACTAGGCTACGAGCTATAGGCACTGTGCAAAGCTAATCTGATAATTTCAAGTCAGGGTACTAACAGTTGAAAACTGATTAAATGTGCTAATCTTCCAGGATATTTATAGTTTTAACATAGGGGCTCTTGAACTTGGCAATGCCTTAACTTGATCATTTCCAAATTGCTGAAAGGGAGGGGAAGTGGAGGGCTAGAAAGCAAGATTCCCCTTCCATTTTTTAACTCCTTAATGATCAGAAGTGCTGTATACTTCTGTAAAATTTCAAAAGGTTTTTGAGGTCTGTGCACACACACAGTTATTTCTATTTTATTTTGAGACAGAGTCTTGCACTGTCACCCAGGCCAAGTGCAGGGACACGAACATGACTTGCTGCAGCCTCAGCCTCCTGGGCTCAAGCGATTCTCCCCCCTCAGTATCCCTAGTAGCTGGGACCGCAGGCATGCACCACCATACCTGGCTAATTCTTTTTATTTTTTGGAGAGACAGGATCTTGTTATGTTGCCCAGGCTGGTCTCTTAACTCCTGGCCTTAGGCAATTCTCCCACCTTGGCCTCCCAAAGTGCTGGAATTATAGGCATGAGCCACTGTAGTTGGGCTGTTTTTATTAACAGTAGGATTTCAGGTACTGGAGATTTCTGGTCAGGGGGGCTTTCTGTCCTTCCTACTCTGAAGTATTAGTACAGGATTCTGCACTCAATGAGTATTTGAAGAAGTGAAAAATGTTCTATTAAAAGTTTCTGCCAATCTGTATGAAACTTTATCTTGGCTTTCTCAAGTTAATTCAGATTTTGTCAAGATACAGCCATCTTGACAGTTGGGATTATTTTTCCACTCTCAAAAGCACAAACTAAGACTTTTTTGCTGCTAGATCTTCATACTCCACTCTCATCTGAGCCTGACAGACACCAGGAAGCATTTTAGAAGTGTGATCTAAGCATTACTTTAAGGATGGGACCCAGCCACTAAAAGGATCTGCCTACAGGTGGTGGCCTGCAGGCAGCAGGCCTCTTTGGAAGCATTTCTTCTCTGAGGGGAACCACCCTCACCTCTATCTCCATTATTTCCTTTGATGTCTTCAATTGAATCTAAATCTCCAGGTCTTGTTTTCATTTGCCTAAAATGAATATAAAGGTCTTAATTTTATAGCTACCACTATACCTGCTTACCATCTATTTAGAGAGAAAAGAGACATATGTACCTTAGCCAGGAGCAGTGGCTTATGCCTATAATCCCAGCACTTTGGGAGGCCAAGGTAGGTAGATCATTTGAAGTCAGGAGTTTGAGACATATGTATATAAAAGGGCCAGCAGCATAAATAATACTATACCAAAAGTTCATGCATTTAAAAATAAGGTCTCTGAGGGGAACCACCCTCAGAGAAGAAATGCTTACAAGAGGGCCTGCTGCCTACATGCCAACCTAGAGCTGATCAGAAGAAAGTCTCAGGAAGCAAGCAGCCAGTCAAAAGGGGTACACTAAGCATGTTCTGCCAATAAGGGTTACCATTCCTTCTTGATGATTTTTTGATTCCCCCTTTCCTGAAAGAAGTCTGCTCTATTTCCCCACTTATCCCTTTCAAGTAAGAGGTTTACGTCCCTCCCTCCTAAACTTCCTCTCCCCTAAAACATTTTCTGGATACATTAAGCTGCCATTCCACATCTTCTATTTTTTTCCTTGAAGAACAGTAATGACGTTTCCAAGACCTACTGGTCATTGGCTCCACAGACAGCTGCTATAGGCAGGCTGGACTTTTAAAAGTTCCAACCTTGGGGACATTTGGTTTGGGAGGGACTCTAGGGTCCAGCCGTGCTGGTCCCCAGTGACAGTCAGAGAAGTCTCACAGGATTTTCCAGTACTTGACCTACAAATAGATTTCACAGTGCAGCATTAAATTTGTTCCCCACATATCCATGTCTAGGTGACAACCATAGGTGATTGATGGTGCATTACTCCTGAATTTTTAAAAAGGAAGCATGGCTCCAGGTCCTACAGCTATGATCTACTTATATTTCACTACCCCATATCCTTTTCTGGGGAGACAGGTCCAATGGTCAGAACTAATGCCCCTTGCAAACAGGTCTCCTTGAGTTTTAACAGCTACATTGGATAAAAGTGATGTTAGAACTAGGACTTAGTAAAGGACCAAACTACGAGTTTAATGCCTATCCTTTCTTCTATTTAAATCTGAGAAAAGTCTTACGTGGTTTTAACTCTCCCATTTTCACAATTACACTGAAAAATGATGCTGTTTCATATATTCTCTAGCTAATATGATTCAACATTTGTAAATTAAACCAGGAATATAAAATACATATAAAAATATACTCACCTCTGTCTCCATTATTTCCTTTGGTGTCTTCAATTGAATCCAAACAATCAATAAGGACTTCTCCGGGTCTTGTTTTCATTTGCCTAAAGTGAATATAAAGGTTTGATTTTTATAGCTACAACTATACCTGCTTACAATCTATTTAGGGAGAAAAGAGACATATGTACATAAAACAGCCAACAGCATAAGTTATGTTGTACCAAATGTTCATTCATTTAAAGATAAGGTCTTCAAGAACTTCAAGAACCTAAAGATCAGTGGGGCCTTGGAGTGACCAGGGCCATCTGGAGTAAGCCAGATGAGTAGANCAAGAAGAAGCTGAGATAACCCTAAGCAGAACAGATTCAGTAAAATCCATGCCAAGACATATTATAGTCAAAATTTTGAAAAATGAAAAGAGAATCCATAATTAAAGACCAGGAAAAAGAAATAGTAAGGACATGTGAGAAGACTGGCCAAGCTAGAGAAGAAGGACCATATTGGGAGGTAGTGAGAGAAATACTGTTGGATAACTAATGAGGAACCAGACTATGGAGAACCCAGAATGCCAGCCTGATAGGTTTAGGCCTTATCCTGTGGACAGGAGAGAACCTCCAGAGGTTTCTGAGCAGAGGAAAGGACATCAGGAAATTATGAAAGGTATGGTTAAAGAAGAGCTGTATGAAAAGCATTTTTGGAACTTGGCAAATTGATACAGGTTACAAAAGGAAATAAAGGCAGCTTGCTGACTGATAGAATACATTCTACAGTGTCCAAAAAAACCCAGCAAATATCTAGTAGAGCCTTCTAAAATACTCTCCATAGAGCCAACTCAATCACCTGTTGAAAATACAGATTCATTTCCCTGCTTAAAAGCCTTCCATGTCCTCTGGCTGCCTAGAAGTTGAAGTCCAAAATCCTGAGCTAAAAATGTCACAATCTGGCTAATTCATCTTTCTATTTGTACCTCCAACCTCTCTCTGCAGCAGACCCTGCCTTCTAGCCAGAGGTTGCAACTCCAAGACTCTGCTTCTTATGCTTAACTCTTACTCTCCTCCTGTCTACCCTGACAAGGGTCCCATTCTTCAGGGACCAACTCAAATACTATGAATATTTATTCTTCTTCAAGGACTTCACCAGGCAGAATAAATTGTTCTGTTTCTATTAGTCTCAGCTTTTCGTTCATTTTTTCAGAATGGTACTTAACACATTTATTATAGTAGTTGGTAGTTGTCTGTGTATCTCCTGCACTAGAATAGGGGGATATGAGTATTATTTCCTATTATTTTCTGTCTCTGGCTATCGGCATAGTAACTAGCACACAATAAGCACTGATAAATGTTTATTAATGTTAACGAAATGGCCTTTTGTTTGCATTAAGAACCCTACAAGAATGACAGAAAATGTCATAGAATGTCACAATATGTAACTATGGTCCATAATTTTACAAATTCCTTTCTCTTTCATCTTTTTTT